TCTTTATTTCTTATAGCTGCTAAAAAAAGCAAAGAGTACACAAGAAGGAAAGTGAAGAAAGGTAGATACAGCAATGGTTGCCTGCCCTCTTTTATGTGTCACCAGTTACCTATGCTTGCATGAGCTGAAACCCAAGTTTTTAGAAAAATTAATATTTAGAAAGAAAAAATACGCCTTTTTTTTTTACTGACTTAATTCATGCTTCATGCGTAGAATTAGAAGACTTTCATAAAACTTCTTGTCTGGCCTTGGATGATTCTGAGGTATTTTTGTTGGGCCCCAAACTCTATAAACTAGCCACTACTAACAGCTTCCTTCTGTGAGAGGCTCTGTTTCAAACTACAGCAAAACTCAAAGGTTTAATCCAAAATAAACAGTTCCTGTAAAAGTAAATTGATAAATAGCTTCCCTGTAATCATATAATTAGTGGTACAATGTGTTAACCGCTTTTGTGAAAGCAATTTAAACACTCACCATTCACGTTGTCAAAAATACCATTGACCCAGTTGCTTAAAAACAATTGATGAAATGAATGTTGGTCTTTACTGTGGTTATTAATGCTGGGGCAGATCTTGCTGTGTGCAGACAGCAACAGACCCTTCATTAGTATGCATTGTGTTTTTTAATTCTTTCCTAAGAAAACTAGGAGGTTGGGGCAGGGTGAAAAGGAACCACATACGGCCTACTCACTTATCCCCACTCATTGGATTCACTAGCCAAACCTCCTACATGCTGAGCATCAGTAGCTGTTAGGAAAAACTGTACTTCAATGAGTTGAAAATATTTGATATCTAAAGCTTTATGCAATCATACTTCACAGAACATAAAATGCCCACATTTGAGTGATTTGCTCCCTAAAGGCTTTCACATCAGAGAACACCTGAAAAAATTATAGGGATAGACTTGAATATTTGCAAACCAAGTAAACCCCAGGGTAACAAAAGGGATTTTAAGGAAATTTTCCACCCCGCTGGGAAACAGAGATCAAGATGATTAGACCTAAGTATGATTAGGTTTAGATTAATGTTGGAATTTAGTAAACAGAAGCAAATACCCTCATTTCAACTTTATCCAAGATCATCGCCAAGACTGCAAAATTTCTGCAGTCTGCAAAATGTTTTATCTTTATAAAAGGTCTAGTCCTTCTGTGTGAAAAGAGTTTTCCACTTGCCTGCTGTTAAGTTGGTTATTATAGAATAACATTTCTCAGTATGAAGAACATTCCTTAGGATATGGAATAACTTTGGTGGGCTACTCTCCTAACAGAGACTTAGCTGCCATTATTGAAATTAAAGCTCTAACTCTCGCTTTTGCGAAAGGTGCCTGCAAAACTGGAGCAATTGGTTCAGAAATGTCTGCCTGCATGCTCTAAACCCACCAATTACAAGGGGTAGCAATGTAAATGCTGCTTCACTTTTTCACTACTGATGCATGCGAAAAGGAAAAAGTATGTTAGTAGGAATTCTTACCCCAGTGTTTCTGAGAATAAGCAGTAAAAAACAGCATGCAATAAGGATAAACCAGAATACACATATGCCAAGGTGTTTGACTTTAAAAGCTCATGGAAAAGCAATGGGTTCGATTGATTTCATTTTGAAAGTGAGCTCATCTTTTAGAAGACTGGGAAGTACTGTTACAGGAAGATGTAATGATTTTACAGTAACAGCAGATAGCCAAATAGCAGCAAACCACTGCACACAAAATGCCTGACTTGCTAGCAAACAGCTGTGCAGCTCATGCCTATTATTCTAAATTTTCAAGTCTTCTTTCTTAAAATATTCTTTACTAATGAACTAATAAACATACCTATAGGTATGTCATTTAACAATGTCATTTAACAATAGCTTGACCCAGACAAGCTCCCAAGATTTTATAATGGCACGCCTAATTTCAGGACCATAGCCCCATTTCTGGATGATGACCCCTCCATGACTGCTACCTGTCTGGGAAACACTAACCTTGATTGTAGGACTCATAGGAGAATAAGCAGAAATATCTCCACGTTCAGAAAGAAATATATAGTCAATATACCGTTCGCTGTGAGTTCTCAGTATAAATACAAACACACCTAATCATATACACAGGTACACAAATGTCCATTCAGGCATGCTATAAACTAATGAAGATATTTTTCCTATGTCCTGGACAAAGAAAAAGGCAAAAAAACAAGAGAGGCAGATATTTCTATTTCTAAATACTCTGGAAGAATTTTGATACTTCAGTAACAGGCCATTTCCTAGACTGTACAAATAATTGTGCAAAGAATCATATGCAGGGCAACAGCATCAGGGTTTGATGTCTACATAAAGCAGTATTCTGGCACATGCAGCTGTTATGGTACACTTGAGAGTGGACATACTGATTTTCAGGGGAACAGCAAGCCAAAGCTGTTAAATAATAGACATGGTGTTGAAGCCAGTCATCCAGTCCCTACTAGTTCAAATGTTCTTCCATTCTGACAGGGCTTGGAACCCAAGTTGTACTGAAGAATGCCATTTAGCATCACTGATTAAATTAATGAAATTAAGACTGGAGCTGTAAAAGCAAATGGAAAAATGATGCAGACTAGGGTTTCCATGTGCTGTTTGTTGTGGGAAATACCTACAAAGCGACTTTGTGCATAAAATGGGCAATATATATATTTTGCCAGAAAGAAAAAAAATAGCTCTAGATCAACAGGAACCACTGGGAAGGCTAGAACTTGGACTCTAGGAATTCAACTCTTCAATGAGTTCTATTCTACAATTATTCTTGTTCAGAACAACTCCTTTCCTACAAGTCCAGACTATTAAAAAGAACAATCACTTCAAAAGACAGTCACCTGATTGCTGGGTGTTAGCTCCCCTCATGGACAGTACAGTGCAAACACAGTAATTTCTGCCCCGCCTAGAGAAATGCAGCTTAGCATAGATCTGTAAACAGATGTTAAAGGCAAAACCAATATATTGTTCCATCAAGCAGGTTATATTTCTAATTGTTTGCTTTCCACTTCTTTTCTCATTTCAAATTTTAAACTTCCTTTTAGAAAAGTAGAATCAGGATCTACTCAATGTTCATATTTTTGTACATTTAACAGAAAACAAAAGTTAAATCCTTCCATGACACAGCTGCATAGAACAGAGTAGAAGAAATCTTCAGTGTGCTTTGGAAGGCATGGGGGGAAGGGGAGGCAATAGACTTTCATTGCGTTGTTCCGGACAGGCAGGAAGAAAGACAAGATGCAAGGGATGTGGTTTATTTTGGCTGCAGCTTTATTAACTCAACTCCTCTGGGAACTACCATCAATAACTTGTACAGTATAGGTCGTCATTCTTTCCATAATCATTCCCACCTGCTGGAGAGCTGCAGTTGGCCTCCTTTCTCCCATCACTCCTCCTCCCCCCACCTTCCGCCTCCACAGCTGGTCACCAGCTCACTACTGACCACCCATATTCCCTAAAAAGGGTAAAGGGGCTGGAAGAAGCAATTGTCTCCTAGCTGTTAGAGACTCCAGCGATTCCTGCTCCCCCTCAGCTTCTTACCTTCCCCTAAGTTTTGGTTTATCGGATACTTAGATCTTCATGGAACAAATACTTGTATTGCACATCTGCCTTCTGGAGAAGACAGCAATTAGCTCAGATGAGCTTCTCTGCCCCTCTGCCCTGTTTCCCAGAGAATTAACAGTTCATATTTGCTGCTAAGCACAAAGCTGTTATCAAATTCTGTGTCTACAGACTCAGCAAAGTGCCTCAAATAGAAATAAATGCCATTTATCCAGAATGCTGATTATCACGACGCTTAAGAATGCTGCAACAATGTTTACATAGATTAACATTTGAAAATACCTTTTAAAATAGCAAAGGAAGTGGGGCTTTGCACTGGGCAGAAAAAGTGAGAAGCAGAGAGCACTCTAATGTCCATTTTTTTCATATATATGTATGTGTATCAGATGATCTCTCAACCTCACATTCTAATTTTCGTTCTTTAACCCTAAGAATGGGTATGATAACAGCAAAGAGAGAAAACTGAGGGCTTGGAATGACAGGGACAATGTGTTTCACAAGAGCCAAGACCGCATGGAAGTGGGGAAAATCCTACTTACTGACTGTACACACAGTCAACCCTTTGGGTTGCTCACACATGAAGTTTATATGAAATGTGTGTCTGCATCTCTACCTGCTCCCCGCCATCCCTGGCAGGAAGATGGGCTCTACGTGTGCAAATCACATGTGGAGGAATGAAGGATGAACAAATGCAAGAATTACACTCCCATCAAAAGTCTGTCCTTTCAGAAAATAACAAATAAACAATTGAAAGCATGCACAGAAGAGGTTTTCTGATATAATGCCATTTATCAGGTAAAAGACCAAAAATGTCTATGGAAAATTCCGTCTGGTATTCCAATGGTACGACCACTGCATCTTAAAAAGCAATCAGTCTATTTTTATACTTCTGTTCTTCTAAGACTTTTTTTATTTGTTTTGGCAATGTATCTACATTTTCTATGAATTATCAGTGAACGTAGGAAATGTTTTCTAGGATCTTCAGTGCAACAACTGTGTTTGGAAATACTTATATTGCCTAAACCATTAAAATGCGGTTACATGCAGTAGCTCTGCTATCACTGGCATGTCATTTTAGATAATTATCTCCCTTCTACAAGTAGCTAATGCAGACCCACTGACCCCTTCTCCCTTCTGAATTGATTCTCTTTCATCCTCTCTTACTGCTTCAGTAACCAAATTAAAATAATTAAAAGCTATACCAGTTGTAGATGCAGTGTAAGACCAGAAATGGGTCTGTTCCCATTGACTTCAGAGAAAATGGGTCATCGGAATGCACGATGATGGCTCCAGGAAAACAAAAATAGAAGGACCTTGCATTTCTGGTTTGGTATTTTATTTTTTTCACAGCCAATTAATAGCTAAAGTGCATAAAGGAAAAATGTGCATATTCAGATGGAACACATTTTCATCTGGCTTTTATATTTTCTAAATTAATTCCCTTGAACATGAAGTATATAATTGAAACAGAAATTATATATTCATTGCTCATAAAAATCTATCATGCGCAAGATGCTGAATGTTGAACTGCTTAGAGAAGTTTACTCCTGCATTTTTCACAAGAAGCTACATCATGGGAACTGATGAATCTTTTCTGGAATCAGGGACATTTGCCTCCATTCCCGAATGCAGAAGAATGGAAATATGGTATTCTATCATTTTGCTACACTTGGTCCAGGTCCATTCAATTTTTTTCCTGTTTTGGAAACATACAGACATGGAAACCAATGTCTGCCTGGCCCAGCAGGAGATAGTAAAATACTTCACAAACACCAGATGGGATTTTAACAATGTTTGTAAAATATAAAATGCTCGAAGCACTCTCTGCAAACCTAAAACTGAACATGCTTCATCTCATTATAAGCCTTTTTTTTTCACCTAGTGAATTCCTTTACATTCTCTGTTAGAAGACTGACACTAACAGAACTCTGATGTCTAAAAGGAAACCCAAAAATCAACCTCTTTGGAAACTAATATTGATACATATGATAAAATACTTGTGTGATGTCACCAGTATAAAACCTATGTAATCATTACAATGTGACTGCATGGTGTTAATGCTGGGGAAAAAAAAAAAAAAAGATTTTTTTTCTTCATTCTTTCTGTTAAATAACTAAGGCACTTGTGTTTTTTAAGATATTGTACTATGTTTATGTTTCTAACCATCAGATAATACTCTAAATGTGAAAAAGCAGACTGCCTATCCATCATCACATCAAAAGAAATAATAATGAGTCCTTACTCCTCCAGGATTCAGAACGTTGTTGAATGGAAAATTTTAAGATATCTCCTTTTGCCATGATACAAAATGATTTAAACTGCAACTGTCGGGGTGGGGGTGAGCCAGCCGCATTGAATTTCTTATAAAAAGGGAAGGATTTCAAAAGTACTGAGAAGAGTTACTTAGACAATTTTCTGACTAATTTTCTGTTTGGTCAGTTTTCCTTTCAAAGCTTTACTCTCAAAATATAAGGCAGTAATAGCCCAAATAATACACCTTAAAAATTGAATTATATATTTAGAAACAATCAAAAAGAACAATACATGTCAAAGCAATACTTAAGTTCATAACCATTCTCAAATTTCAACATATTGCCCTGACAAGGGACAGACAGAATCATCAAAATCTTAAGTCTCCCAGGAAGGAAAACCATTTTAAACTGTATGAAACAATGAAGTTAATTTACAATCAATACAACATAATTCTCTAGAAGGAAACCTTGTCTATATACAACCAGCCTACCTGTTCTCTTAAATCCAAACAGTATTTGAATTAACTGAATATTTTAAAGGATAAAGGACAGAAGTATTCTTATTGCCCTTACTAAACATTTCTGCTTTTAAGACACCTGCACTTTCCCAAACAAAGGAAATACAACTCTCATATAATTTGATAATTTTCTGCCTCCATCAGAGAAAGCAGTTATTCTAAGGCTGTATCTGTAGCTAGGTGATAGGCATAGGTATATGCTTTTGTGATCCAGAAGCCCTGGTCTCCCTGACTTGGTAAGTTGCAAAGTCAAACTTTACAGTTTCCTTCTGACAGCAGTCTTTTGCATTCCCAGAAGCACAGTGATCTGGGGAAATGACAGTCAGTGATTCAGGACTCCTGGAGGTTCTACTTCTCTCTTCCTGACAGAATACTGTGATGTGAATGGGACAGTAGCACTGGTATTGCTCTAGAAGTCAGGGCTTGGCTGCTGAGTGCAAATACAAGGCTGGCTCTGGATGGGAGAGGCATTCCAAATTCCTGCAGCCCAGCAGCAGAACCCACGTAGGAGAAGAGGACTTTCTTACTCACCCTGAGGGCACTTCTGCACAGGCCTGAGGCAAGGTCAAAGGCACTCAGGGTCACACTGAAGGCATTTTAGGCAACACCAGATGCAGGCAATGGTAGTAAATAGCTTTTTTGGCTGCTTCTTCAGGAATTAGGTACCTCATTTCAATGCAATTTCAGCAATCTTCAGCTTAGTGAGCTAAGTAGTGGTAATGAAAAATAGCTTAGTTGAGAAAGATTTAATTCCAGAAATGCCTATTGCCATCTGAAGTGCAGCAGTCTAGATATTTTTGCATCAGGTTTACCAGATTCTCTCAGTTGCAACTTATATTTACCATTTAATTTTAAAGAGGTGTCAAAGGAATTGTGGCATCTTAGAATATGCCCCTTTTAGTTGTGACTCTTGGATGACTTCATGCACAAAAGTGCAGGGTGTCGATTGAAATAAAGCCACAAATGAGTTATGCATGGTCATCTTTAAATCAGAAGAGTATTAAGTGCCTTCAAGTATCCTTATCCCTCCACATTGTAGACCAGATTTTCATAAGGTGAAGCCTGACAGCCATGTATTTTATGACTTTTTCACCAGCAAGTGCCGTAATTGCACCCTCAAACACAGCTTTTTTTCAGACAGGTATTTGGGTGATTGAGGGACCAGTGAGATCTTAGTCAAGTCACTGTGAACCTTTCCACCAATTTCAGTGGGATACATGTTAACATCAGAATCATATTTTTAAGAAATGAAAGATTTCTGTAGATAGTTGCATAAAACAAGCAGCAAAAGGATGGAGTCAGATATGTCACGACCTCTGGCTTGCTCTATGAAAATCCCACACTGATGGTCATCCAAGAAAGAACAATTACAGGAGAGCCAGTGCTGGTATAATCTTTTTGCAAAGTTGCTTGTTCTATTAATTTAGTAGCAGATATTACTATAGCTCCTGGAATGCTATGAATTATTAATCGATGGGATTTATTCTCTTCTCCTGTGGTGTATTATTGCACTTCCTGAGGGTCTCATGTGAAGTGCAGTTTGTGCTTTTTGGTTAAATATTTCTGAAATGGTAACACAGTCAGGATTAAGAAAAGCCAAAATAAATTCTACTTATGAAAATTTTATTTTGGTTAAGTAATGTATATGCATTGCCTACACATTTGGCTGCATCCATTTACAGACTAAATCTGCCTTCATGGAAATTTACGCGCAGAAACAAGGGACAAACTTTAAAAGCTGGAATGCTTCAATACAGATCTTTTTACAAGGGTTCCATAATTTGAGTTACTCAGTTTCACATGTGGCACCCCCTTGAAAACTACAGCAGTCGTGGGTCACAGAAGAATTGGGTCCTATGGATTCTGTAGTGAGAAAGATATAAACAGTCAGTGTCCTGAGCAAATGCGCAGAATAAAACCTATCTTACTATGCAGTTATGTTTTAAAATATGCCTTTGTAAAACTGTGGTCTTTCAGCATTTTTATTTCCCTGTGACCTCATAGATGTTGTATTAGTTTTATTCCATTTATAAATTAAAATATGCTTGTGCTTCCTTTTGCAAATGTCAGCCCTCCAAACTAGGCCTGAAATGTAAAAGTCAAAATAGGTTTTCTCAAGTTCCTACTCACCGGCATCACCAGTAAAAAACGGTCTGCAGCCTGAGCTCCATTAGAAATATTATTGTGCAAGACTGACAACAAATCTCATTAAATATGTTGGCTCTCTAGCAAGAGAAAAGCAGATAAAACATATTGGCAAGAGCTATGCCAGCTTTGGAAGAGCTGTAAGCACCATGTGCTCCAGCTCCTGCCTGCCTGCTGCTCACACATAAAGGACAGACCACAGGCTGCTTACTAAGGCCTGCCTGCTTGCGCACCACTTTGTATTTGGGCCTGCACTGGGTTCCTTTCTTGCTTTTATGCTTCAGGGTTCCTAACCCTGTGCCTGAGCACCTTCATGAGCCTTAAAGGAGTCCATAACTATAGACCATGAGCCTAGTGGCCTGCTGGATTACGTGAGAACTGTCATCTAGAGAAGACACCCATCCCTAGAGTCAGCACCGTAAGCTGGCAAAGCTCAGCACACAGTAGAAGCAAACAATAGGAGAAAAAATATATCATTTTTAGTGGGCACCTTTAATTCTTTCACAGTAATTGTCCTCAGAGCTGCCTGCAAGGTGAGGAGTAGGCTCTGAATTTCAGTGGGAAATGGGAAGCTGTATGTGCATTTGCCTCCTTTGAAAATGGCTATCTGTATGTTAGTTCTGATGCGGCAAGGAAAGAATAATTAAAAAAAAAAAGAAAAGTGAGATTGAGATAATTTTCTTTTTTCCAATTTCTTTTTGGACATAGAACAAAACTGCCAATTATTTGTGCTAGTGCATGTATGTGACCAGATGCTGCTTCTCAAGTAACACATCCTACCCAAGCTCCACATTAAGGCTCCATCCATGTTTAGTGCCTTCAGCTGCATTAGGTTCTCATTCCTGTCTTCCCTTTCTCGTCCAAGGGAGAGTATATTAGGCTGAATGAGTTCTGAATTATACTGCTTTTAATGGGCCTAAATGCTAACTGCCCTTTCTGCGTTTCAAAATTTACATCTGGAAACAATAATAAGGCCACTTTAAGTATATGCTTATAAGTAACTTTATCCATGCTACTTGAAACTTAGAGAACATTTTCTTTGCATTTCTATTTAAATAATTTGACGAAAAGAGCTCTCAGACGCTGGCTGATCTCCTTATCTTGGCTAAAGGGTGCAGTGCACCCTTTCAACCTCCAAATGTGATCTTTCTGTCTCTTCTGGAAAAAAAATGTTTCCCTTTGAAGTTACTGAGGCAAGCCAGTGGTGTCGGCTCACCCGGCTGCTTGCATAAAGCCTATTATTCATAAATTGGAATACCTACTTGATGACTGTAAAGGCACAAGCTACAGGCTGGAATTCAGTACATTTCAGCAAACATTCTCCCATGTTATTATTACAGCAAACATAACGTGCAGAACAAATTATTTTAAAAGAATGTATGCTTGTAAAGCAGATACACCTAATATAAAATGAAGTTAGGAAAAAATAGATTTCATAAAATATACACTGTATTTTAATGAACAGTGCGTGCTTCCCCCAGGATTTATTAGGCAACATATGGAAGACTTTTCCTCTTGCATTTTGTGATAGGATCAAATAAGCTAAAAGATAGAACTGAGAGTAGGGTAATCATACTCATATTTTTACATCAATTCTTGAAAATCCAAGCATTCATATCAACAGCATAATCTGTTCTCTAGTACACCGAAAATGTGCTATAAAATAAAAAGCCAAATAAATCTAATTGCCCTTTTTTTTGGTTTCAGAAAGCAATTTCTTTCAAGCAATGGCTTTGAATTTTCAAGTGCATCTGTGCTGTGCAGTACTATTTAATGCAGCCCCTTGGCTATTCACACAACCTTAGCTAACCCAGCATTGTATTGTCCTGACAGATGTATCTACTGTCTCAAAGCCAGATCAGGTATATCAGTATAGATATACAGAGGCACATAAACACCCCTGTTCTGTGTCATGGTATAGCCATTTTGAGACAAAATTCCCGCTTACTTAAATTAAAAGTAGCAAAACAGTGTATGAACTGAAAGATTTGCCCCTATAGCTATAGAGTTAAGATAACTGTGGAAGGGAATGAGTACAGGAACTTACATTTGGCTCAAAGTGAGCTGACCTCTGCACTGCTCACAACTACATCTGAGCTCAATTAATAATGTTTTGGGGTTTTTTTGTGGCATTAAAAAACAAGTCTTGAAACCTCACCCCTCAAATCCCAATAACGTCTGTCATGTCTCAAAGCCAAGTATAAGGGAAAGGGAAGTTCCTAATGTGAGGATGCTTCCAAAGCAGGCTTTTTACTCCATTCATTTGCTTGCATAGAGTTTAAAGCGGTAAATTGCGTTCACCAACAGTGCCTCGGTGGGTTGAATGCAAGTGAATTGTGCACAGCTATCTAATAAATGCTATTTATATGGGGCTTTTCTAAAGTTACCACATAAAAGCAGTGCCTTCTAAAAATCTATATATGTACCATACAAAATATAACTGTATCTGCATTCTGTTGTCTTGGCAATGTCTGGGTGACAGCTGAAGCTGCAGATGGTTCACAAACCTGAAGGAATATTGTCCTTTCTCTGGGTACTACTATCATGCCCATTTAAGTATCAAAAGGATAAAAAAGTTACAGATAATATATAATAACTAAAATTATTTTAAGTAAATATACATCATGCTGCAAAGCAAATCTAAGAACTATTGTGGCAAGTATTACAACAGCATCTGGAAAGAATGGCACTATTATCTACATACCTTCCTTCACTCTTCTAGAAGACAGGCACAGTCAGGAGCACATGCATTACTGCGCTCCTGATGCCATACTGGCATTAACCCCTTGGAATACTTAGTAGGTTCAGCTTTTTCAGCAAGTATCACTGAACAAAACAACCTGTAAAACATACACCAACTTCAAAGACAGTTTTGCCCATGACATTTTCAATGCCTGTTTCTCCGGGTAAAATAGAGGCACAACTTGTAAAAAGAATCACATGAGGCTTCTCCAGGTTATTTCTGTAGCTTCTGATTATGATTTTTTCTATTTCCTTAAAACTGCCTAGTAAATCAAGGGTATTGTGACCTGGGAGTACTAATTTGGGATACACTGTCCTCACCAGGACTATCATCAGAGATGAAACTACCAGGATGTTTTTTAACCTTCCTCCTCATATCTACTTACACTGTAGCTGAGTTCATCACTGCTAACGTGTGACTGATTTGGTCACCCTGTTTCTTAAAAATATCAGACTGTTCCTTCAGAATTGTCTTTTGTATATGGGGAAAAAGCCCATCTTAAAATAGGTTTCATAATAATTCTGGTATAATGCTTGTAGAGGCAGTTTTCCTGAAGATTAGTAGAAAAAAACATAGTCTTTTTTTTTGACAGTTACCCTTAACTGAAATCACAACACAGGCCCAAACAAACCTTACATCTGGCATGTTCATGGCAGGATGATGGGAATCTGTTGTGGCAAGTTGAACTCACCATTTTTTCACATAGAATTCAGACTCATCAGATAAAAAAAAAAACCCTCCATATCCATCCGTGGCCTAGAAAACTGAGAAAATCACACTGGGTACTGGAGTGAGGGAAGGGAAGGAAAGGAAGTATTCACAAAGGCTAAGTTTAGCCTTCAAAGACCAAACTTGCTACGCTGCTTTCATTGTTGATAGAAGGAAATAAGGTATACTGGGGGAAAAAAATCAAGAATACTTAGATTATGGCTTCTACTCTGAACCAGCTTCTAAAAAAGCCTCTCTCTTCTAAATATTGTATTCCCCTTTTTCTTCTGGCACTGTAAGCTTCTCTTTCATCTAATCTGTGTACTACTATTCAGTACTTTGGGGAAGGATGGATAGTCACATTCATCCATTCTCTCCCCCATGCAGTGAAAGGTTGTGCCAAACAGCTCTGGGGTAAACGTCGATCACAACCAAGACAGGGTGTTAAAAGCATTCCCTTACTTTCATACAGCCCTTCCCTCATGGCACAGGCATGTCACAGACTATCACTTGAGCCCTCAGTCTGAGAGATGGTGTCCAGGATTCCTCTTGAAATGAGCTGTATGTGGTTTTCCACAGCTTTTTTTAATAGCTATTGGTTGGCACAGGGGACATGCAGTCATTTTCTTTAATGCTGAGGAGCTCCCTAATCTGCAGCCTAGTATTCTGCACCTGTATTACACCTCTCCTCTTGAAAAGGCCTGCTGGCATACAAAGGGTGACAGTGTAGAAAATGGATCCAGGCTCCTCTCTATACCGATAGAATGTCACTTTCTACCTTGGAATATAAAAGGCCTGTCAAAATGACCAAGGGATTAAAGGCTATATTATACAAAATCTTTTTCACAAGTTTAAACTTTCACATTTAGGACAGAAACACAGAACAATGTATGATGGGAGGACTTACTGAGGTTATCAGGTACAAGCTTCAGTTCAAGGACCAACTTCAGGTCAGGTTGCTCAAGGCCTAATCCAGTTGAGATATGAAAAAAAAAAATCAAAGCACCTTGCAAAAATCATGCCCTGGAGTCTGGGGGCAGCTGGAAAGAATGAGAAATGAAATATTGGTTCTCTGTTGAGTTTTACACAGAAGCTAGGATTGGGTAGATTGCACCCCTACTTCCCTATTCCCCAGCTCTTTTAGTACTTGAAATCACAAAAAGTAAAAAATTGTTTCTGTCCACTATATTCTTTCCTGGTTTATCCGATGCTGTTTCACTATAAAACTATTATTTCAGGGCATCTGTTCATTTCAAATGCAAGTTTTACATTGCCGTTGTATTTTAAGGGCTAGATTAAATCTAGTTTAATATCCACCTGGCTTTTTTTTTCTTCTTTTTTTTTTTTTTTTTTTTTTGTGTTAAAAGTGTAATCGTTTAAAATAAGCTACAACTCGCGTCTTCCCGAATCCATCGGGAGGAGCGGAGTCTTGGAGGAGGGACCGGAGCAACGTCAGCAGCCAGCAGAGGGCGCCCACGCTTTTAGCTTCGTCTCGTCCCACAGAAACCGGTGCGCAGTGCTTCAAGGCAACATCAGGAGCGGAGCTACAGCGCAGGTAAAGGCAAGAGGGTTTAACAGATGGTAGCCAAGCTGGTTTTAGTCCAAGCAGAAGTACATATATCTTGGGTGTGAGCGCTTTTGGGTGTGAGGCTTTCGGCAAAACAAAAAAATAAAACCCACACCTTCCAGTAGTAAGCAGTAAAAAAATTATTTGTTGTGAATACACAATTGCATGGGAATCCATTCAACTTCTGTACAGATCAACTTGTAGATACAGAAGGAATCTTTTAATTAACCCTTGGCCTCATATGCCTTTTTTTTTTTCTGTCGCTACTTTTCCAAAAGTCAGAATAATGTCTTGATCTACTGCTTCATTTTCTTCAGTTCAACCATGGCTTTAGACTCCAGCCTTGCAAAAAAAAAAGTACATGCCCTTACTTTGTCCACATGAAAAGTCCTAAAGAAACTGTGCAATGTACAAGAAAGACATATATACCTGTGACTTTTCCAAAAAGTAGTGTGTCCTTTTAATGTCTTACTGAAATCTAATTGTGTTGTTTGGGTTTTATTTCAAGTAGCTCTGTTACATCTCATGTTAATTACTCTTTGTGTAAAAGCATTAATAAAAGGTACCATATTTTTCATGTGTTATGGGTCTGTTTTCACAGAAATTTCTCTGAACAGTGGCAATTCAGCTGAGCACAATTCTAAACTTGTTAGATTTTACTCTGGCAAGGTAGTGAGATAGAAATTCTCTGCTGTGAGGGTGGTGAGACATTGGCACAGGTTGCCCAGAGAAGCTGTGGCTGCCCCATCCGTGGTAGTGTTCAAGGCCAAGCTGGACGGGGCTTTGAGCAACCTGGTCTGGCAGAAAGTATCCCTGCTCATGGCAGGGGAGTTGGAATTGGATGATCTTTAAGGTCCCTTCCAACCCAACCCATTCTATTATTCTATGAAATAGGAAGAATAGCCCTGCATGCTAAATGCACTGAAACTATCACAAAAGCCTCTATTATTCAGACAGACCACATTAAATAATAAGCTGTATTTAAGAAATATCTATATACTTGATGTTACGTTTTCTTTGTATCTATCAACCCACAGTAATAATAAGAGATTAGTCCCACAAGACTTAGTCTCACCAGACTACTCCAAAGTTCTACACCTCAAAATAATGTAATGATAAAAATTACATTAATGTTGAATTTAATGCTCTCAGATACGCATTCTCAAGAAATATCAAATGAGTTCTTACTGCATGGAAAAAGGTTGGTTTAAAAAACGCAGTGGGAAAAACTTTGCTGTTGTACTGCTGAACAACTGTAAAACCAGAGAAAATCCTAAGTATTAAAACTCCAGTGTAAAACATATAAGAAAAAATCTTTGATCACCACAGTAAATCTGAATTTAGGATTTCAAAATAGCTTATTTAGTCTAACTTTTCAAACTGTTTTAAAGTTTTTCTCAATTTGTAATTAAGTTGTGTGAAGTTAGGACAGCAAAAAACTACTAGTCTCAAAATTAGTAGTTACATTTTGAAAATGTAAATAAATAGAAATACTGCATTCTAAAGGCTCCTGGGGACAAACAAGCTTAATAAAGAGTATCTGATTTGACTCAAATTCACCTGTGAATATGCTTCTGCCCTAAAAAAGTTGAATACAATGACAATGTATACACATATACGTATACATGTCAATTTAGTGTACAACACTGACACTATGGAAGGGGCAGATTTTTTTTTCTGTTGCATATGGCTCAAGCTGCAAGGAGGGGATTGAAGGATTGAAGTCTGAAGCAAAGTAAGAGGACAACTGAATTCTGCATGGCCACCCACGAGCAACACAGCATCCCTTGTGAAGTTGTCTTCTCTCCCAAATAATTTCAATTGTATTATGTTTCCATGTTCAAAGAAAGATTGCCTAAAATCATCAGCAAACAGACCTGACACTTGTGACTTCTTCCCATAATAACATTTTCTAAAATTCTGCATAATTATTATTATTCTTAATATTAAGTGCATTAAGTATGTAATTGTTCTACAGATGAAAATGTCTTCCCTGAAAAGGAAAACCTATAATGGAAATTAAAGTGAAAAAATACAAAGATTGCTTTTGACTTGGTGCTTTTGAAATCCATTCCAAGTGGTCAAACTTAAAAGTAATTATTTTTCAATACAATACAATGATTTCTCCTTTTGTCATTTTCTTTTTCTTTGTATATTTTAAATTCCATTTGTTTTTACCATAGTTCACAGAAATGTTTCAGAGACAAATTAACCTTGAACAAATGCTGCTTTCTATACCGCTGCTGCTTCTGACAGATTCCAACTGGCATTAAACCAAAATTATTAGTACTGATTTACATTCAAACTTCTGTTTCACCTTCCTCAAGGGCTCATATATTGAGCCAAATGCGGACCAAAAAATGTATGCAAAGAGAATATACTAAATCTGGGCTTTTCATATTAGTCCTTGTTTGCCAAAGTTTCCTCTTTCCTGCATATAACATCTCAGGGCTCTGCTCTACTATAGCAGCATCCCTAACCACAATCAATGCAAGGATACTTTTGCATAACAACCTCGATTTAACTGTTCACAAATGCATAAAATAATTAATACAGATGCTTTGAACTACCTTCTGGAGGAGAATCTATCACTCTTAATCAGCTTGGAGATTAAGTTTGGGTGGTACAAACACTCTCTCCTCATCTCCTACTGTCTTCAGTAATTACTAAAGAAAAGTAGCCAAATCCTTAGAGGCCTGAGTTATTAACAGAAATACTGGCTGTATAATCCTGTGGTCCAGGATTATAAACTGGGAGCAGTATTTGTAGAAGAAAGGGCACAGAAACTTCAGAGTTGTGTATTTCAACTGGCTGAGTTCACTAGAGGTATCAAGAGTTCTTACCTCTTTCTCTTGTAAGTTTTTTTGTGGGCCACCTTCCCTCCTCTTATCTGTGAAGACCTCCCTGTCATTCCCCTGCTCTAAACCTCCTGTTAGTCCCAAGTGTCCCCATTCTCTTTTTTCCAAATACAAGGGCTCTTTCAAATCATCCTCTCTCATCTTTCTATAAACATCTGTGCTGCAATCATTCTTCCTCCCTTTGCTCCCCTGTCTAAAGCTCCTCCTATGTTCAACTCCTTGGCAGCTGTAGGCAACCACAAAACATCCCACTTCTTCTTCTTGCTGGTTGCTCTGTCCAAATTCTTGATCTGTTCCCTTCCTCCACCTATAGCAGAGACCCTGCATAATTGCTACCCATGCAGAAAAAACAGCATTTCTTGTACATCTGTGACACAGGGGTCCTAGGGGTCCTGTGTCACTGGCAGGCTCTGGTGGAGACTTTGTGCATGTATTGAAGGTTGCAGACCTGTATTTTGCTTCTTCCCTCCTTTATGACATTTTACATTACTGCAGATGGGACTGCATCAGCTTAAAAGAGTCAGAAGAGGTGGGTAATGTATCCTGCCAGTTTATCGCTGTTGTACAAAGTGAGGATGAAGCACGTAAGCCACAGAAACACAGACACTTCTCTAGTTAAGTATGTACTGAAAGGCTTTGTTGATTAATATTGCACTGGGAAATATGCAAACAGTTTTCAAAAACTTCTTGAAAAATTAAGTCTTATAAGGCATTACCTGTTTGTTTTTCCTAAATCAAGAATAGTAAAAGCACTGATGTTAGGATTATAGACATGTTTGAAATCTTTTGGTCTTGCTAATGAAAATTAACTTCCCTCCTCTCTGCAATCTGTGTTTACACCTCAGAAGACAAGCACACAGAGACAGAAATCAAAATACAGACCTCCCCCACTTCTGGAGGGAGGAATTTGCAGGAAAACAAGGTATTACACCACATCTAAAGCCTTCTGACAATTTGTCACAATTACATACATCTTTCTTAGATACATTTCTTCCTTTTGCATGGCAGCTGATCCAAAAATAACTAAAACTATTACCACCACCACAAAAAAGAGAAAGAAGGAAAAAAAACCCATTATTGTGACCTCCTTCAAACAACTAAAACCAATGTAATCTCTCATTATAAAGTATCATGCAAATACACTTCAAAAACCACAGGAACCCCAGGGTGTTTGCCACACAGACACAGTGAGAAGAGGAAGGATGAAAGAACTGGACAGAATTTCTATATGAGCTGCTAAATTAAGAAATGACTCCACGCATGCACATGGTATGTATCAACTCTTGTCTTTTACCCAGAGAAGAATGCAGATCACCACAGCACGCAGAGGACCCAGAAATACATCATGCATCTCCACATGCATATTCACGTTTTGCAAGTGTTAAGGTAAAAAAAAAACAAACTGCAGCCCTCTATGAACTAGAGTTAACTTCCTCACTTTTGTGCAGTGAGAAAGTAGAGTCCCAAGACTATGCAATTCAGAAATGGTCAAAGGGATTCATTCATCACAACATAGCCTCCCAGAAGTCACATCCTTCTTTCATCCTCTTTTCTGAGAGACATTTGAGCCCACTTGCCATTTGGGTTCAAACCTACTACGTGTTTTTCTGTTGTGTGTAAAACCAGGACATATCAGTTTAGAGACCTGTTGCAACGGTTTACCGACTCTCAAAAGGCACAGTTAAGACCACAGGAAGTCTACAGTCAACCTGACCTGCCTTGCTGCCACAATCCCACCTGGCATAGTTCTTAAGAAATTGTCACAGCTCATGATATGATTCTTGAGACAAGCTTTGAATGGGCAGTTAGATATAGCTTGAGAAGAAAAGAAGAAAAAAAAAAGACAGATGAGCCAAAAAGAGAGCTCTTGTCTGTTTTCAAGTATTAGTTGTCTTGATAAAAGCTATTACTCCTCATCCTTCATGTACTGTTAGACATAGCTTACATGTCCTCTTTCTTCTCTTGGCTTTCCATGAGATATACAAGGATAAGATAACACATCACTAAATTTTAAGAGTTAAAAAGCATCATTTAAAATATTGCTTAAATCACACAGTCCCTGTGTTGGTAAAATACCCACTTAATGTTTTGCAGCCTGGCTGTAATTCCCTGAATGATGTCACATCCACCTAAACACAAAATAATAGAAGGGTCTCTTCATGCAGCTTATTTCCACATCTTCACTCTAACACATGGATTTTATTTCCTAAACAGAGAATTACTGTAATGATCAACTTCCATTCCCTCCAAACAAACATTCAGTAAATCTGCATCCTATGTATTTACATTTTTTCCTGATTTCTTTTCCCAAATGCCTTACTATTACAATGTGCCTGAGTAATCCTGACTTTTCTACTGTTGTTGCAAGCTTTACAATCAGATATTTTCAGCCTGAAAATAATGTTCATGTCAGCATTTGATTCAAAATTATACAGATGAGTCAACTGTCACTGTATGCATTGTAACAGTAATAATAATACTATCTTTATGCTTTTTTCGTTCTTCCCATCAGCAGACTTCAAACTACTGGAGAGTGAACCCAAGTAAATCTTAAACATCAAATGTTTTATCTTGGTCCTACTACTGCACCAATTCCGGAACTGCTGAGGGAAGGGTGCAGGGAGGTGGCAGTGTGCCAAACAAAAGAATCTACATAAAAAGATGATTTTTTTAAGATGAATGACATTGCATGCCTTAAATAGCATGAAAACCTCAACAAAACCAAGTTGATGTCAGTGTTGTGACTGACAAGCTGTAGCTGTGTGGTAAATTAAGCCAGGGTAATTAAAACTCCTGTATTTGTGTCTGGTTCTAGGCATGACTCTGCCCTAACCGTCCTACATTTCAGGTACCAGCATTTACCACTACATAAAACTGAAATGGTGCTATCTGCCTTGGTTTGAAGAACACTGCGTGGCTTAACATGTGTTAGCTAAAGATTCTCAATAAAACATGACAGATACATTATGCAAATGAGTGTGAATCTATACTGGTAAATATGAAAACAAACAAACATAGTATATAAATAACCTTCTGTTTTATGTATAAAAGCCCTATAAAGATAAATCTTAAAAGACATAAACCGTTTTCCAGGACTAGCCAAAACAAAGGGACAAATCAGGTGTCCTTCAAAGAGGAAAGGATCCTTCTGCACAGGTCACTGGGCACTGGCAGTACTGCTCTACAGCAGCACAGCCTAAGGGCTAGTGGAGCTTAACACTTGCCTAATGAACCCTTTCAACATAATGACTTCAACACATCCAATGAAGAATTTTTTTCTCCCAATGGGAAGAAAAAGAAATCCCACCCTGCACGAGAGCCTTATTCTCCCCACAGCCGAACCGCATGGTTCTACAGCTTTCTAGGAATATGCTCTTCATTCATAGACAGCAAAGGGAAAAACAAGCTATATTCAACTGTGAACTACCTTGTCTTTTGTTGCTGTACTTTTTACTTTGGCACTGTATCGCACTTGCCTGAATATTTAAGTACTAGTTGCTACCTTTGGTAGTGCAGGACCTCTCCATATTTCTGCTTTAAACTCTATTTTGGCTGGGACAACCAATCGTTTCAGGATTAAACATAAGTTTCCATTGTTAAATGCTTTAGCCACTCTCTTTTTAAAATCAGTTCATCCAGTTTAAGCTTACAAAACAGAAATAAAGTACGTATTTTGGATATCAAATTTTCTTTTTACAGTCCTGTTATTTTAAAATCATATAAGGTCTAAAATCTGTCATGCTGTAAGTAACAATATAAAAGATGCATGTTAAATATATATCAGTGTATATATATTCCTGACACATGAATTGGTATGCTTTTTGTGTGCTAACAATATATAATACCACACATCATTTTGTTTATTCGTAGGTAACATTCCATAAAGATATCTTTAATACTGATAAATTGGAGGGTTGTCACATTATACATCAGATTCAGAAGACAGTTATTTTCACTTGAGTATCAGGAAGACAGGAAGATTTTCAAGAGAGCACTCTGCTGAGATCCTGAAAGGATTTGTTTACTACCTTGGTGAAAGCTAAAGATCGCTGGTGGCTGCACCATAGGTGTCGGTCCAAGTGATCAGGACATAATGCTGAGATGTCAGAACCTACAGGAAATTTTACCATCCCAGTGGCTTTTTGGAACAGTAACAGCACCTCCAAGAGACATTACCAAACTGACAGATGTTTTTCCTTTTCTCTTTATGGAGATCCAGAGACCTATGAGAAACATGAAAAGGAAATAACTGTATGGCCTAATTTAAATGTACAAAGGTAGGAATTATCCATATCCATTCCTACCAAATCCTTCTAATCTTCAAGCTACTATTCTTTCAAAAAATCTTTAGGTAAAACTAGAAAGAAGTACATTAAATATTTCAAAGAAAGTCCCCAGCTGAACAAATGTATTCGTGCAAAGTACGCAACATTCAAAGGAATATTTTTACAGCTAAAACCTCACTACTAATTAATCTATGTCTAACTTCAGATATCTTGTGCAAGCTGATAAATCTTCAATATAAAATGAACACACGGTATACACTTTCCTTCCTAGAACAAACAAAACATGCATGCAATAGACTCAGGTTATATAAATACAATTTTACTACAGTTATGAAAAATATTTACTTATTTGTTAACTACAGCTATTCTGATGTCTTTTGGCAGTACATGTTAAGGACTCTAACAACAAGCAGTACAAATGCCTAATAGAAACTATTTCACCCCAGAAGAAAGTAAAAGTACTTACAATTTATTGAACCATTAGTATGTATCTATTCAACACAGGCCAGAACTTCTTGAAACCCATGAAATTTAGTGATAAAAGTATTGCTACTTCACAGTGATGTAAGATGTGTAAGAAACAATCAAAAGGTTTTAGTGGAACAGGTCTCCTGGACAGACACCATGGTACATAAAAACTGCTTCCTGCATAATTTTTCTCCTTAGGCGTTTATTTTGGACACTCTATGCTTTCACCCACTGTTTTTATTATCTTAGGATAAGGTGATGCTTGGGGAAAAGCTTCCCAGAAGCCCCATAGGCCTAGATTTACAAAACATTCAGACAGCAGATTTCTTTATTATTTTAAATAAAGCACTTGAGCTCCTGTACAAGGTCCTTCTGCAGCTCAGATTGGATCAAATGATGGTCCAGGGGTGGGAACAGGGGCTATGAAGTGGGTGGAATATAAAAGCATGCATTCTGCTGGCCTTTTCATTAAGCTCTCTCTCATTGCAGGCTTAATTGTAGATTCAAAGATGGCGTAGAAGAAACCTTTAACTAACGCTCTCCAACGCACACTGCGTAGCCTGACCAACAATTCTGTCACCGGTCTAAACAAGAATTGGGCTGGGACTGGGTTATTAAACAGGCTCAAGTCTGGAGCTTGTGGTCAACTTTGTTTGCACTGAGAACTGATTTGGAGGGGAAAAAATGTTTGAAAAACTGCCACCCTCACCTTTCCCTCACCAATGGCTTTGGCATACTCGGTCACAGAAGAGCAGCATGAAGGCCACTTTACGCACACCCTGAGGAGTGGAAACCTCTGGCAAGACGCCGGGTGAGGGACAGATCAAGACCTCTCAAAGGCAGCCTCGCAGCAAAGTCAGTTTCCCTTGGCAGCAGGTCTCCTTTGGAAAACTGCAGCCTCTTGGCAAGCCTGCGAGGTAACCGAGCGGTGCGAGGGAAGCGAGTGATGAATCCCCATCTCCTCATAGAACCGTCGAGCTAGGACCGCTCACCAATGAACGGGTTTCCTGCCCTGGGTTAGACCTCCTTTCCAGCCCAGAGCAGCACCCGAGCCTTTGGGCTACCGCCTCAGAGACCGCTCGCTAACCCCACTGCCTCAGGCCCATTGTCGCTTTGATTTCAAATGCGATAGGGTGAGGGGGCACGCACTGCTCAACCGGCCGTCCCGCCGCGTTCCAGAAACGTCCACCGCGCTCACCCCTGCCCTGAGGGGCAATCCCCCTCCTGAGGCGAGTCCCGAGGCGCGGCGGCCGCGGGCCGGTGAGAGACAGCGAACGAGTGAGGGCGGGCTGAAGGCTCTCCCCCTCACACACACCCCCCTCCCGCCTCCCGCCCGCCGGGCCCGCGGCCGCCCCCACCCGCTAGCTCGTACGGCGGCGCGGGCAGGGCTCTCCGCTCTACGGCGGGCAAGGCTGGGGCGGCGTCAGCGGGCGCGCGGTGCCGGCTCGAGGGCTTTAAAGCAGCGTGTAAGCTGAGATGCTACTACAGACAGCGGCGCGGGAGCGGCCGCAGCAGCAGCTCCCCGAGCCTACGCGGCCGCCCGCGTTTCGCCCCCGCCACATCGCGGGGCATGAGAGCGACCGACCCGCAGCTCTAGGTACCCCCCGGGCCCCATGGCGACGTCCCGCGCTGCCCTCCTCCTCCTCCTGCTGCTCCTCTTCTGCCTGCCGGGGCTGCGGCGGGGAGCGCGGGGCAGCGGGCAGCGCCCGCGGGGCTGCCCGGCGCCGTGCCGCTGCGAGCAGGAGGGCATGCTCGTCCGCGCCGACTGCTCCGACCTGGGGCTCACGGCCGTGCCCGCCAACCTCAGCGTCTTCACCTCCTACCTGTAAGTGTGGGCAGCCAGCGCCGGCGGGCCGGGGAAGGGGCACCGGCAGCGGCGGGGCGACCCCGCGGGAGGGCCCGGACCGGTCCCCGGCGGTGACAGAAGGCGCGCGGGGTCGATGGACTGCCGAGCCGCTGCCCGAAAACACCCGACTTCAAATAAGTTTCAGTCGGTTTTTAATCAGCGGGCGGGTTTGTAGGTATCTCGCTATCTCGGTGCCGGGTCCGGTGCCTGGAGGATCGCTGTATGATATGCCGTTTGGAGGGTAATTAAAAGCGATTGCAACAGCAGAAACTCGATTCGATCTGCAGGGACGTTATCTTCACCTTTGCTTCCCGGGACAGGGCTTTGAACTGCGGTTGCTGCTGATTTAATCTTTAACAGATCTCCCCTCGGGTTGAGGAAAGGCAATAAATAAAGCGGGCTCCCGGGAGGCGGGCAGCGCTCGGAGGCCAGTGCGGGCAGGTGCCTGTGTCCGTAGCCGGGCCGCAGCCACCGACCTCGCCGGAGCTCTCCCTCAGTTTCCAATTACCCGCCGCACTGTGCGGGGGGGCATCCCCGCTGGTCCGGCTGCGGTGGTTGGGGAGAAACTCCTCTGCATCTCGGGCGTGCCGAATTATAGCATGTAGGGACAGGGACAGTGAGAATGGAGGAGCTTTGGATTAATAAAAACACTGCCCCACAGTCCGGGGAAACTTTTCGTTTGTTTTCTTCTTTTTGGCAGAAGGGTCCTCGTTTAGCCTCTCTTGGTTTTGTGTGTCAAAAGTGCTGGTGCGCTAAAAGTGTTACTCTGGTGCTCTCCTTACTAGTTTCATGCACTTCATTGTGGTTGCATGTCCTATAGCTTGTTGAGTTAATGCTAATCCTCTGTGCCCAGCACACACGTCTGTTTCTGAATGTGTTTGTCCACCCGTGTATTTTGACGTGCTGTTGCCATGCTTGCTACTATGGTTACTGTAAAGATGCTTTCACAGTACTGTGTGTCAGGCGTACTAAACTGGTAATTCTGAACTCACTTCTCTGTTAATGCCATACTCCAAAGGACCTAAAACATATGCTGCATCTGAGAAAGTAGATGAAACTAAACTAGAAACACCCCTTCTAAGACAAGTACAAACATGACAAGAAGGTAGAAATTAAGTGCAACCAAAAAAAATATGGGTTAGAAAGCTTAGTTTAGTGAAAATAGCACTGGTTTAGAAAGAGGATGTGCAGCTAAAATACTTTTCTAAATATTATGCATGTAAATACTCTCCTGAAATTTACCTAGGTAGAACAGTTTTGGCTTATTTAACTATAAACATTTCAAAATCAAAACTATTAGTAATGTTAAAAGGCAGGAGTCGGCATTACTGAATGACTAGTTACAGTAGATCAAAATGTAGTGAAGATAAAATTTCTAAGACACATATGAAGTCCGCCAGAGGTTTCGAAAGCAGCAGGTCAGGATTTGGGGTATACACAAGACACAATGTGTTCTGGTGCTTTAGAAAGTCATATGCAGAAAGATAATGAAGGTATAAAGGCGCACTTAAGTTGTACATATCCTGTGTCAAGAATTAGATGCCCTAAATTCTTGGTTGCTTAGAAAAATGCTAAAACTCGAAAGAAAAACATTAGAGAACCCACTGTTTGACTGTTTTATGAAGAAAAAGAGAACATAAATATGCACGATAATGTCAAAATACGACTGCTGTGGTCTTCTGCTGTTGAAAAGATACATACCTCCAGGAAGCTACTTCTCAGTAGGATTGTGATCTGGTCCTCACTTTTGTTTTTTACATCCTCTTGTCCTTCAGGAGAGGGATGTCTTTCTGTTGTCAAGAATTCATGCTGTTCAGTAGCATATGCCCAGAAGTAAAAAAACACCACTGGGACAGGCAGACTTTTAAATGACCAAAGCTGCATACAGGCAGTATTAACAGCATAAATGACTAGTTCATACACATAGGCAGTTACACTTACCCTTTCCCAGATTTACTAGGCTGTTATCCTTGGATTGATTAGTTATTGAGTAATTATGCAAAATTCTAGCTCCTGCCTGCCTTCCTAAAGAACTGTCAAGTTTCATTATCTGTAGATGGCCAAGCAATGGCAAATCTTAAAACATGCCTGCTTTTTATAGAGATGTTTGCCTCCCTGAGACTGGTAGTGGCCCACCAGAAACTCCTTGGTTTTGTTTTTTTTTCTTTTGGTTTTTTTTTTTCTTTTTGGTTGATTTTGCGTTTGGGTTGGTTTTGTTTTGTTGTTTGTTTGTTTGTTTGTTTGTTTTTCCAGAAAAACAGAAATATCTTTTTGCACTAGGACAGTTTTTACTTCAGATCAAAGGAGGAGATTAAAATTGTGTACTCACATTAACTCTCTTTCTAGTGAAAAACCCTATCTTCTTTAGTTGATTCCACTCTTACACAGTAGATATATGTGCAAAAGTGGTCTGTAGTATTACCTTGTGTTACATTTGGGCATTTAAAGATTTTTATTCTAAATTTCTGCCATTTTTATCTAATCTGGGTACTCACATAGAAAAAAAAAGTAAATGTTTTCTTGGCGTGCAGCAGAGATTGTGTGAAAAATTGAAATGCTGAGGCCATCAAGGTTTATGTTTGGACAAATGTGTGCAGAGCATGATATATTATGGTGACTGAATTTTGTATGGTTTTTACGATGGTGCTCTTGCAACAGAGCTAAATGTAGTCTACAGATGGACCTGATACACATTTCTCCATTCTCATTTATATTCCCAGGGAGCAAGTCATGCCTCTCATCAAAAATCTTTTAATTTATGATTGTATGTCTGCTGCCATGAACTGTTAGACTTTTTAAGAGCAGACAAGGAGAATCCAGGAGTTTCTTTCAATTCCTTTTTTTTTTCTTTATTTTTAGGCTAAATAATGTACTCAATGTATTTAATGCAATTCATGTTGACATAAATGAGAATTCCATGTGCTGATGAAGGGCAGCACTGAGTCTCTGTTTCAGATTAAGAACATGTCACTTTCCTATCAGTGCACAGTGAGAAGAAGAAGTCAAGATCTACAGGTCTTTTGCACATGGGACCCTCATTAATTCTCGGAGCAAGCCTGTGAGTGACTGAAATACTGTTACCATTTACTGTGATGTGGAAAACTGAGGCAGAAGGGCTTGCTCAGAGTTAGAGGTAAAGTTTATGACAAAGCCAGTAATTAAAGACAGAATGCCTTATCCAAACACCATTCTTTAACCACAGGCTCACCCTACTTCTCCTAAATAATTACTCATTAAAGAACAGTGTAAAATCTGGCAGCTCCTGCTCAAGAATATCTAGTATGATGAGTACAAAAATAATCTGGTTTTGTATCTCATGTGATGGCACTATATAAGGTAGCTCTTAAAGATTCTGAGATGTTATGTGCCTGGATAGCACAGAAAAGTGAATTTATTATAAATTGCAGGAAAGATGCTCTATTCTTTGTGTTCAGAAACTCTCAGTAATAAACTCAGTGGAGTATTTTAAGGGGAATATTAAGCAGAATGTTTTCACAGTGTTACCATCTTAGATTGACATAGGCATGTATAAATATCGCAGCATATGGTATGTTGTTTTTTACATTATAGTTTACTTAATGAGTTATTTTGGGATATGTGCTATTTGCATTTTGAAAGTTTAATTTTGAGTACAATGTAAATATGGATGAAACATTTAGGGAAAATCTGATTCATATAATTTTAATTAGTATTAGAAATAATTCGTTAAGAAAAATTGTATTTCAGAATTATGATAGTATTACAGCAAAACCTATGAAGAAGAAATCAGTGCATATTATCATGTTCCTAGCATATTAGTCTTCAAATAAATTTTGGCCTTATGCTTCCTTTGTTGCCACAATATTGTGTCTGATGATAAATATTCCTGTATAGCACAGTCAAAGCTCTATTGGGTGTCTGAAAGTGTTTAAGACTACTAAACAGAAAAAGCAATATACAATTTGGAAGAAAAAAATTATTTACTTTTTGGTGGTGAAGAAGTACATTCCCAGAAATAAACAACACTTCTGAAATAAGATAGTTGTTTCTATGTTAGGAATACCCAAAAAGCATTAGGACCAATGCTTTGGGGTAAATTTGCAGTATTTTAGTCATTCTGATCTTGTTGCAAATGCAAATCTTGTCTGAATCTTCATCTAAGATACTTTGGGAATGACTGTAGTTTTTCAGTGGGATCAAGCAGCAAGGTGACTTCCTACAGAGAAGTAAGCTTTATAAAGTCTTACAACTTCCATATCCCTTGACAAGATTTAGGTGTTTGGTAATTAGTAAAATGTCTGCCTTTCTTAGAAAGTACTTCTTTACATAGCTATAAACTTTATAAACCATTTTTGTGCCTTTCTGGGTGAAGTAAATAATAATTGCCATGTGGTTTCAGTTAAAATCTGAGTCTTGTCCCAGTTGAGGATGAAGGTGAATCCAGGTTCTGGATTTAGAATTCAGTGTTAAATATCCCGTTTGAAAATAAAACAGAGCATTCCCTCTCTACTCATGGCAATAGTGGGTATATGAAGGTAAAATCTACGCACAGATAAATTAGAGGTACCTAAAAACTGAAGAAATAACAAGCTACGTAAAGTTCATGTTTGCCAGTTTTCAAGGGATTTGCTTTAAATTTCGAAACATGACTTGTCAATTAAGAGTGACTTTGTGAAAAATTTGGATTTAAAAAGTAGTTAAGAGAGAATATCACTCTTCCCACTTGAGAATACAGTGCTAAAAATAACTCTTTACACTGCTTCCTAAAGAGCCTTGTGCTGCTCAGAATGGGGGAAAAACGGCACTCGCACACTAGGTCTTTCCGTTATAGCATTTGCTCTGTAGAAATGCAACATAAATTGACAGGGAGAATTGGGAAGCTGGTAGAGTATAAGGAAGCTGGCAGCGTGAAGGCACCTTCAATTTGGTTTGGTATCCTAAGTGCATAGGACAATTGGCTGGGCAGAGGGAGCCTGACTCCAGCTGAGAACGCGTGCACT